TTTATCACAGAATCACAGGGTTGGAAGGGACCTCAAGGATCACGAAGCTCCAACCCCCTGCCACACACAGGGCCACCAACCTCCACATTTCATAGCAGCCCAGGCTGCCCAGGGCCCCATCCAACCCGGCCTTGAACACCTCCAGGGATGGACGGGGCATCACAGCCTCTGATGAGGTCTCTGGTGAGCAGCTGTTCCAGCACCTCACCACTCTATTTCGGTTTTTTGTTTTGCTTTTTTTTTTTTTTTTTTTCCTAACAGTCTTCATGTCGATACTTCTGCATGACAGTATTCGTTAACCAGTGTTCTCAAATAGAGCTAAAAACAAAGTATGAGGAACACAGCAAGGTGTCCATCCATGTTTGATTCCCATGCTCCCCCAAAGCCCAGCTTCTGCTATCACCTAAGAACAGCAAGGGATGAAGCATATTTGCTGGGCACTCGTCTCAGGAAACTAAACTTTCAGCACATAAAAGAAATTGAACTGGACTAATAGCTTTAGGAAACCAGCAAGTACTCTAGCCAAAAAACTAGGACCCAAAAGCCAAGCGTACAACCTTCCAGAAAACACGCTTCTATCTTGCAAGCAACATGATTACAAGAGATGTGTGTAGAAACTCACCCCCAGCCCACCTAATAAATAAGGACTGACAGAGCATTTAATTCACATTTAGCAGAATACAGGTGCCAAGCCTTACTAACCCAATTTCACTGAGAAAAAAAAAAATTGAAAAACAAGGCTTTCTGTCCTGAATCCTACTTCAGACATGGCCTGCCTGGAAACATCAGGCACCTTACAGCCAAGCAGCAGGATGAAAGCATCTGAGAAATCAAGGTATTTTACAGGAATCGGGCAACACCTACCCCATACTACTCCGACAAGCATGCCAGTAAAACCTTCAGAGTCCGCATCAGAATTAATCCTCAGAACATTAAGCTAATGGTTTTCTACCTATACTAATGCAGAGAAAGTCTAAAATTCATTCAGAAGCAAATCGTACGTTAGAAAAAAAAGATGTTCCTCATTTTCATGGGAAAGATCCAACACATGCTGCACCTTGCAAGCAGCTCCAGGCCTCCTACCATTACAATGCTAAACAAGGGAAAACCCTGTGACAGAAGACAACGGGAGCCAGGTCTCAATTTCAGATTCCAAGATATCACAGCTCATTGGCAGCACAGAGCCATTTGGTGCCAATTTAGTTTAAAAAGCATATTTTCAACAACATTTTTCATGCCTCACTTGCTACTGAAGTTGAGATCTAAGTCAACAAAACATAACTATCGTATGGCAATGGGCCCAGTGAGCATTTCTTATTAACATACAATTTTTAAGCAGACTTCACTGAACTTCTAATAGAGGCCTGGAGACGTTGGTGCACCTACGAGGACATTACCCAACACACTGATGTTTAATGCAACCCAAAATCATCTCCCTTTACAGGAGTCACTTGCTGTAGTGAAAGCACGTATGAGAGGTGTCCACCTCCTCAGGGAGGGAAGTGCTTTCTCTTCAGCAGTTTCCTTTAAGCCTCCAGACACTGGGAAAGCCAGCTGATTATTAACAACAGCTACACACGCTCTGAGGGGAAGTGGAAACAAATACATGATATGGTTGTTCGTAAAATGGAAAAACTGAAGAGACTAAGATTCCAAGCCTGGTTTCTTACAAGCCATTCCCACAGAAAACTACAGATTTCTCATCCCACACTCTGCAACAAGGCATTCTGGTCTCCTGACCCTACTTGCATTTCCCAGCTATAAAGGCCATCCAAAAAACACACAGTCCCTGCACCTCTGCTCCAGTCCCTGCACAAACCAAGCACACCTGGCCCTGCTCAGCACCTTGCTCATGCACCCAGCCAGCCAGCAGAGGTCCAAGAGGGTTCCATACCATCTATGCAAGCAATTATAGTCTCCATTTATTACCTGAACTGTTCCCCCAAGACAACTTGCACTCCAGACAGCGCACTTTCTTGATGAGCAATGCAATAAAACTCTCCATACAGTATAATTCATAAATCCTAACAAGTAAGGAGAATTAAGGGCACTTTTGTGCATGGTGTGCTGCTCACCTCCAAAACCCCAAGCTCACTGCCCCAGCAGTTCCTGCCTGGAGGAACCCCCCGTTCTTCCCATCACCTTCTGCACCAGGAGTTGCTCCTCCTCCTAACACACAGCCAGGTGAGCCACGTCCTGCTCTCACTGTCCAACCTTTCCCCAGAAAGTTACACAGTAAGCACGCACTCTGTTCACCACTGTACAAAACAAAGGAAAGACACAAGCTTTAAGTTCTTCCAATCTAGGGAATTCGGCACAGTGTTGTATTTAGGACCAGAATATTATTATTTATTGTGAGCAGCAGAGGACACGTGTAAGCTTTTGCCATCACGCAAGGTAAGCCTGCTTGGGTTGGGTTTTGTGGTTTTAACAACAAAAAGGATTGGTCAGCTTGAGTCCAACAGTCCATATCGCAAATAAAACTGGGGAGTTTTGTTTGGTTTTTTAGGGTAGGAAAGTTAAGTTACTTTTTATGTACACTATTTGCACTACTTAGAAGTTAAACTAATTCTCAAAGCGGCATTAATGATTCCAGCTAATGAGACTAGTTATTCAGATATTACTAATACGTAGCATATCAAGAGATACAGAACCAAGCTAAATCCACTTTCCAGGACAAAAACACAACCCAGAGATATCTCCTGTTCTATCATGACGCGGACAGGAACACGTTTTTGTCAGATATGTAGCATAATAAAATAGCCGCCTGAAAAGTTCAATCTGACACTGTCTTTTAGCACACATTCTATCAATATCCACGTATTCAGGCTACAAAGAGTAAATTCAAGTAAACATTGTAGCACCTGTGTCACCCATCCTATGTACTCCTGTGCTGCAGGTACACATGGCTGCACCCTTGAGGACCTGCAGCCTTCACTCAACAATGGGATGCTCACTACCAGTTACCATCAGACACTCTGAAGAACACAGTAGAGGTAAGACTGGCACTCTTAGAAAGCACTGTTTGACAGAAGAGACAATCAAGTAACTCAAAATGATGAAGGAGACCAACTTCAGGTAACCAAGGGACACAAATTAAGCAGCTTTCATGTGGACACAAGCACTGAGCAAGAAGGGAAAGTCTGGAGGCTGCATGTCACACTGCGTGGGATCAAATGGCTCAAACCCAGGCCCTGAAGATAGAGCAGAGCACACAGAAGGAGGGACGTCTGACAGGCTGCATGAGGCCACGACAGGCCGTGAGGATGCGTGTCTGAACACAGAGAGGAAACTGGTTCCAGATATTAGATAGTTTCAGAATTCAGAATCCAGAAGTTTCCAGATATTAGATACCAGCATCTCTCCTTCCCCCTTATCTAAGATGTCTGATGCATACACCACAGTGCTTTCTCCTCGACATGTTCTCTGCTCCTCCATATTTTCAGCAAACGGGTAACTCTACCCATATGATGATCATTCTGATGTGCAGGCTTGGTTTTCCTGTTCATACTCCTTCAAAAAGCGAAGTGCTGTGACACAGTGAGGACCTAAAGTACGTCCTTTAAACGCACAGAGGGACAGATGTTGTCAGTGCTCGCTCAAAAGTCAAAACGCGCCCGAGATGCACAGCCAGGAGCCAAGGCCTGATCAATACTAACGCTCCCCAATGAATTCAAGTAGGTAATTCATTTTCAGTGCTTCCACCGCAAGATTGGTTGCAATTGTTTGGTGGGGTTTTCTGTTTATTTGTAAGGCTGCAGTATACCCCAGAAACCCCCCCATCTCCAGCTCAAAGACTCCAAACAGCCCCAGTTTTGAAAAGGGCCAAAATTAGTAACAAACGCACCCTCAGATCCATCAAAGAAATCATTTATACCAAAAGGAAAGTCACATAACCAAAATAAACAGCAAGCCCACTGTGCAGAGAAACCCTGCCACTGTTCTGACAACACAGACTCTATTCCAGGCTGCATAAAGCATCACAAGCAAAATAAACCCAAGGTACAAACAAAATGCCATCGCCTCTTCTTTTGTCTCGGGCACAAAGCAGCGGGGCAGGCAGGCCGGGGCTCCGCTCCCGCGGGCCGACCCTCCTCAAGGTCACGGCCAATTTCGGTGGGGGGCCGAGAAGGTGGCGAGCAGCGGGGCTGCTTCGGGTCCGAGCTGGCAGAAAAGCCGAGTGTAAAAGTTTATGAGCTCATCAGGATTGTTGTACCATTACATCAGAGGCAATTATAAATGGCCAAGAGCAGGAGATGGGGAGCCAATCAGATCACAGATAGGATGTCAACCTAAGACCAACTGTCTCCTGGCTTTGACAGAAGGATTTTACCTCCATAATTCAAATCCCAAACCAAAGCAATCTGCACTCACTACTCCCGTCGCCGAGCTGTTTACCGGCACTCCCAGCCACGGGCTCGGGCCTCCGGGCCTCCCGCGGGGGAAGATGGCCCCTCCGGGCCGGGCCGAGACGCGGCCACCCGGGCGGGCCCCGGGCGACCCCGGGCAGGGAGCGAAGCCCCCGGGGCGGGGAGCGGCAGGGACCGGGGCGGCGGCGCGGAAGGCGGCGGAGATGCCGGGGGGCCCCGCGTCGGCCCGGGCGGGCCGCCCGCCGCCCGACCCCCGCCGCACGGCCTCCGCCAGCCCCTTCGCGCCGAGCCCGGCCGCTCCCCGCCGGGGACGACCGCCGTTTCTCCCCCCTCCCACTCGCCGGAGCACCCCCGCGGGACGGAGGCCGCTCTCCGGGAGCCTCGCACAAAGGCTGGGGAGGAAGGGAAGGCGGCGAGGCAGCCATTTTAGAGCGAGCGAGCAGGCACAGACAATGGCAGCTCCCCAGCAGCGCCGACCCGGCGGGGAGAAGCCACGGGAGAGGCGCCGTCCCGTCCAGCCCCCCTCCTCCTCAGGCCCCCTCTCTCCCCCGCCGCCCCCAGCCCCAGCCCCAGCCCCTTCGTCCCGTCCCCACCCGGCGCGCCGCCCGCCCCACGCGGTCCCGCACTTACCTGCTGGCTCCGGCCGAGGCTCTGTCCCCCGCCGCCGCCGCCGCTGCTCCCGGGGCTCATGGGCGCGTGGTGACTCCTCGGCGGAGCCCCGCCGGGCGCTGCGGCCCAGCCCTGGCCGTTGCCCCCGCCGTACTGCGAGACCATATCCGCGGCGGCCGGGCCCTTGCCGGCGGCTCCCCCGTCCTGCGGCCCGCCGCTATAGTCGCCCCCGGGGTACCCCTGATAGCCGCGGGCGGAGCTGGGGGAGGTGAGGAGCTGGTTGAGGGTGGGGGTGGCCGTGGGCTGCGGAGTGGCGCCCCCTCCTCCTCCTGCTCCGCCGGCGGCCGAGGGCCCCATGACCCCGAAGCGCTGCTGCTGGAAGGCGGCGGCGGCGGGGGACTTGGCGCCGGCGGCCGCCTGAGCGGAGCTCTGCGCGCTGCCCCGGGGGGAGCTCAGGGCGTAGGCCTGGGGGGGAGGCGGGTAGGAGCCGGCGCTGCGCCCGGCGCCGGCCGCGTAGTAGGAGTTGTACTGGTGGTTGGGGAAGCCGTGCTCGGCGCCGCCGTGCGAGTTCTGGGGAGGGGGCGGCCCCGCGGGGGCTCCCGCCGGCCCCGGGTAAGACTGCTCCAAGCCCCCGCTCTGCAGCGCTGCCATGCCAGGGCTTTGTTGTCCGCCATGTTGGTGGAAGGCAGCGGCGGCGGCCGCAGCGGCGGCGGCGGCGGCAGCAGCCTGGGCGCCCCGGCCGTAGGGCTGCCCGAAGCCGTAGGCTGGCGGGGGCAAGGCGGCCGGGTGGGAAGGGGGAGGCTGCTGCGGCGGCTGCTGCTGCTGCGGCGCCCCCACCCCGTCGCTGCTGCCGCCGCCACCGGGCGGCTCCGGGAGGTTATTGTTCAGGGTGGCGGCGGCAGCGGCGGGCCTGGGGCCCGGGTTCCCGTTCGAGCTCTTCAGGTCGGACTCGGCCCCTGCGCCCCCTCCGTTGCTCTCGGCCCCGTCCTGCAGCTCCTTCCCCGGGGGGCCCTCGCTCTCCGCCTGCTTCTCGCCGCCGCCGCCGCCGCGCTCAGCCGCCGCCTCACCCCCCGCCTCCTCCGGGGGACAATCCCGCTGCTGCGCCTCCGCTTTCTTCAGCTCGGCCGGAGCCGGGGCGCCCAGGCTGCTGGCGGCGGCGGGGGCGACCTGAGCAGCCATGATCCCCCCACTCCCCGCCCGGCCACCCCCCCCCCCCCCCCCCGGCCCGGGCCCCCCCGAGCTGCTCCCTGCCTGGCCGGCCGGCGTGAGACCTCGCTGCTCTGCTGCTCCCCGCTCAGGCGGCGGCGGGCTCTTCAGGGCAGCGGGGGCTCATTCCCCCCCGGCCTGGTTGGCGAGGCGGGGAGGGCTCCGCTGGGCTGGGCTTCCCGGGGCCTGGCCCCGCTGTACCTCCTCGGTTGCAGCCGGCAGAGAAAGGGGAGGAGGAGGAGAGAGTGGGGGGAAGGAGGAGGAGGGGGGGGACCCGGGACGGGGCTCCCGGTGCGGGAGAGGGGGGAGGGACCGAGGGGGGGCCCCGGGGGGGCGGGCGGGCGCCGTCCCCGGAGCCGGGCCGAGCGGCGGCGGGGCCGGGCTGGGCGAGCCGCGCGGCAGCTCCCGACTCTGGTCCGCCGAGCGGGGCTCACTCCGACACGAGGCTCAGCACTGCCATTTTACCCAGCGCCGCGGCCGCCTGCCAAACCCGGAGCGGAGCGCGGCGCGGCCCGGACGGGAGCCTCCCCCCCTTCACAAAGGAGGAGCGGGCCGGCCCCGGCCGCTCGCGGCTCGGCGCAGCGGAGGCTGCCGCACGCAAAACCCGCAGCGGATCCACGGAGCCGAGCCCAGCCGACCGGCGTGGGGCGGCGCGGCGGAACCGGGGCCGGGGAGCGGGCGGGGCCGGGGCGGCGGGCGGCGGCACGACCCTGGCTGAGCCGCCCGGCTCGGGGCGGGGGTCGGGAGATGCGGCCGCGCTCGGAGCGGCCTCCCTTACCTTCCGGACACCTCTGGGGGCGGCGGGGGCACGGGGCCGCAGCCCACCTTTGAGGGAGAGCGAGGAGGGCGCGCGTCTGCGTCGCTCGCCGGCGGCTCTGGGGGCTCGGCGAGGAGGTGGGCCGTGGGTCAACGAAGCGCCTCTTCCTTGTCCCTAGAAATTCCATTTAGAATTAGCCTTTACCAACTACTAAAGATTGTCATTTCCTCTCTGCTGGTTGCGTCCCTCTGGAAAAGCAGTTGGCAGAGCGCCAAGACAAGAGCTGCACAACACGGACATCCAAGAAAGTCCTGTTCCCACTGCTGCCAAAGCGACGGCAGTGGGCAGTGGACCAGGAACTCCCTCAGGGTGGTTGAATGGGGAGAACCACAACCACCTGAACGTGTCTAGACACAACACGTTGAGCAATGGTCCGGGATGCTCCCGCGGTCTCAAGGATCATGAGGTGCTGGAGCTCCCCAGCTGTCAAAAGGTGAACTAAGAATTAGGCCATGCTTTTCTTTAACCATTTCAGACCCAGATTCCCATCTCCTCTGTCCCCCCAGCCTTTCCCAGAGCAGAAGGAGGAGGAGAGGAATGTACCTGGATCTCAGTGCTGGACACGAGCTGTCCTGTCCCAGCAGCTCCTCTAGATATGTTTTTAACTGTAATTTGTACAGGTCTGTGACAAAGATACAAAAGAATGAGTTAGTTACACAGTAAAAAAAAAAAAAAAACAGAAGTGATGGAGAGAATGCCTATACGCTTTAGACCTCAGCCATGCATCCCAAATCTGGCTGACTGAGAGGGAAGGGGTCTCCTCTGAAATACCGGAATGTTTGGAAAAGTGAAGTTTAAGTAAATACAACTTTACAGAGGGAAAAGGTTGGAATACAATAGGTGGGGAATCAGAAGAAGCTTCTGAAGGGGACCTTCTGTTTTAGAACACCACCTCAAAACAAAAAATGGGGCAGAATAACCTCGATTACCAGCTGTACAGGGATGAAAGCACTGAGCTCAGCCCAGGCCTTAACAACCAGCAGGACACAATCAGGAGAAATCTCATTTTGACAACACTGATGGCAGTGGGGAAACCTGAGTCCAGAGCAAGATGCAAGACAATGCATGGAAGAATAGAATCACTGCCAGTGCTCCATGCCTGCCGCTGGATGAACTGAAGATCTCAGTGTCTGCTACTATCAACTCAACGTTCGCACTCATTATGAAGCCTATCATATGAAAGTATTATCTAGAATGCGGGTAGCAGAACAAAAGGTTTATTCCAAAGCTGAAAGTAGGAAGGGAGCCTGGACAGGGCAATAAATAGCAATATTTTACATGTATTCTAGAGTGGTAAATAGCCCTACAGGCTCTCAAACAGAAACAGCTTTGCCACAGTTGACTGTGCCACATGGATGAGGTTCCATCACAGCAGAACTGTGGAAAAATGCTAGAGCAAAAAGTTGGTCTGTATGCTCTCCTTGGAGGAGCATCTTATTTAACCAAGCCCCAAGTTGTAGGAGCAGGTGGAGGGAAAAGCTTTTAAGACATCAGGTTATGTCCTGTGAGAGCAGCTTTACCAGTGTCTGTGGTGGGTTGTAGCAGCCCACAGCACTAACGCACCCTTTTCCAGATGATTCTTTTGCTATAAACCTGGAAAACCAAATTGGAGGCAGTTCTGCCTCACAGTCTTGAGGACAATCTTCTCAACTCTGAAGCTGCTGTCTACTCCAGGACGCCCCGCTGTCCAACCAAGCACCACCAAAAGTTTACCAGATACGGACGCGGGGCTGAAGTTTCAGCTCAGGTGCACCCAAAGACTCCACGCTTGCAGCTCCTCTATGTGTGTCAACCTTTTGTAACCTTCTTCAAAGAGCACTATGGCAGACTATGAAACCTGGTGTTGACTGTAATGTGAAAAGCAGACTGGATTCCCCAGCCACCCACACAATAAGGAGACACTCACTTTACCAAATGTTTGTGAAAGCTAAAGCAGATTTTGGAATATGCCTCATCAATGAGGCCTTGGCATGTTACTAAATACTAAGGCATTCAATGAAACTCCAACCGTGGGGTTTGGAAGGCAGATGATGGTACAGTTCTTAACATTTCCATCTAATAGGTGAAAATTCTCCTGCCAGTTGTGTCATCCCATGCTGTTACTCCCATCTCTCCAAGCCACAGAACTGGACAAGGCTTTTCTTTGCAACACGGTAACACTCTTCTCAGCCTTTGCGGCCTCTGCTAAGTAGCATGCAGCACTCGTCCCTTCCCCATCTCCCTGAGTGCTGAGCACGCTTTCCTCCAGAACAGGCTCAGCCCCTGGCTGCTCAGATAGGCTGGGGCCAGCTCGGAGCTCACATGGCACTGCAGGCCACCGCCACTAGGCTGGCTCCTCCTGAGTGGAGTCTCCTTCATGAAGGTGGCCGTGCCATTTATCCTGGCACCGAGGCAGGTTAGGAAACCTGGTGTAGATTAGAGTACTAGAAACAGGAGTAGTGTACCCCTCCTGAAAAAAGAAAAAAAAAAAAAAAGGCTCTGCTAACTGTGTGATGGCAAATATGGACTGAATCGTTGACATGGAAACCAGACTAAAGTCAGCCGCGCTCCCTCTCTCTCACTTGCTCACACAAGTTATCATTATCCCCAGCCTTTCAACCCGCTACAAACATGGACTGGATTACTTCAGGAATTGGATAGAGTTTCTACAGTAAAGTATTAACTAGCACAACTGAGCTAGAATGAAAGGAGCCGAGAAGCAGTGAGCGCAGTTGGCTGAAGAAGGATGCTCTTCCATTTTACCAAGAGGCACAGTATGCTGAGATATGCAGACTGGACCCAAGAACAAGGGACCCATCCATTATAATTCAGAGAGCACACCGCAAAAGATGGAGTGGAATGAGGAAAGGTTATCTACAGTTCCTCAGCTTATCTGAGAGTAGTTTTGCTAAAGAAGATTACATTTCCTATAAATAAGTTTCTATTTGTCCAGCCCATTCTTTCCAGTATTTTAGCCACTGTCATGTCGAGGTTAAGCGCTCTCGTTGCAGCTTCATAACCACTAAGCTTAACGTTATTCGAATTATTCGTTTGCTGTGAGTGGCTGATGTGCCGGAGCATTGTACAAGACAATGCTTATTTATCCTCTTAAAAAAAGAAATGTCAAGATATTGTATAATTTCCCTCTCCAGCGCTGACACAACGGCACAAGGGCACGCAGCGAGAGAGCTCTACACTGCGAACTGAAGTGGAGTTTCAGCAGAAGGTAACTCTGTCAGTTCGCTGAACGCAGCAGCACGGCTCAAAGGCAGGAGTGGATTTTACACGGGATTTGCAGCTTCCCACCGCGCCGGCACCAAAGGTTACAAAGAGGAGCCGCTGCCCCGGCCGCGGTCATAGCGCCTGCTGTTAACATTTGACGGTGCGCTGCAGAAAGTTTGGATGCATATTAGGAGAGGAAAGGGGACTCTGCCTGACTGAAGGAAACGCATTATTTCAGCGGCCCTCGCTAGGAGGAGTAAAAGGCGAAGCGGAGTTCGCAGAGCGGAAGGGAAGAGGCGGGGGCGGTGGGAGCGGGGCAGGAGCGCGTGTGGGGCTGCACGGGGAGCGGCTGAAAGAAACGGAGCTGGAATTTATGAATTCCGGGCAGAATTCACGGATGTTCTGAACGCGGAACACCTCCAAGAGGAAAATAATAATAAAGTGCTGGGGAGGAGAGCTTTGTGGCGTGTTTTGTATGGGCGGTTATGCACACAAGGCTCCACAGCCGCTGTCGAACACCAGCTCTGCTTCTGAGCGCTCTTGGAGGAGTAAATCTACTTAACAACAACAACAATAAATAAAACCGTCTGATCTGTGCAGACCCCCACCAGATTTAGGAGCTGTCAGGGAGGTTTGCCCATCAGGCACATCGCACTGCAAACCCCACTTGGAAGAGTTAAAAAGGCTTTCATTGCTGCTAAAAGAGAAAGATCTCAACTCCGGGCCTGGATTTTCCCACCGCAGCAAACTATTATTCTGTTTAAGTCCTCGGGAACTGGCGATACTACGGAGGGAGGTGAAATCGGCAGAGTTCACCAGCGCTCAGAGAGGCACCGATTCCCAGCAAGTCTGTCCCTCTGCGTTTCTCCCACCCTCAGCTGCTCTTTTCAGAGGAGTGTAAAAAAAATATTCCCTGCCGTGAAATTC